GTCGTCGACTCATAGTCGTCGTCGTCGTCGTCGTCGTCGTCGGTGTCGTCGCAGTCGTCGTCTTCGCCGTCGTCAACGTCGTCGTCGTCGCCACCGTCGTCGTCGTCGTCGTCGTCGCCGTCGTCGTCGTCGTCGTCGCCGTCGTCGCCCGCGTCGTCAATGTTGTCCTCGTCAACGTTGCCGTCGTCCTCTTCGAAGTCGTCGTCGTCGTTTACGTCCTCTTCGGTTTCGTCGTCGGCGTCGCCGTCGTCGTCGTCGTCGTCGTCATCGCCGTCTTTGTCGTCAACGTCATCGTCGACGTCGTCGTCGTCGTCGCCGTCCTCGCCGTCGTCGCAGTCGTCGTCGTTAATTAGCGTCGTCGCCGTCGTCGTCGTCGTCGTCGTCGTCAACGTCGTCGTCGTCGCCGTCGTCGTCGATGTTGCCGTCGTCGTCGTCGTCGTCGCCGTTGTCGTCGCTGGCGTCAACGTTGTCGTCGTCGTCGACGTCGTCGTCCTCGTCATCGTCGTCGCCATCGTCACCGTCGTCGTCGCTATCAACGTCGTCGTCGCTGGCGCCGTCGTAGTCGTCGTCGTGGTCGTCGCCGACTTACTCGTCGTCGCCATCGTCGTCGTCGTCAATGTCACCGTCGTCGCTGTCGTCGTCGTCGTCGTGGCGGTCGTCGTCGTCGTCGTCAACGTCGTCGTCGTGGTCGCTGTCGTCGTTGTCGTCGTCGTTGTCGTCGTCCCCGTCGTCGCCGTCGTCAACGTCGTAAACGTCGTCGTCGTCAACGCCGTCGACGTCGTCGTCGCCGTCAACGTCGTCGTCGCCATCGTCGCTGTCGTCGTCGTTGTCGTCGTCATCGTCTTCGCCGTCGTCGTCAACGTCGACATCGTCGTTGTCGCCGTCGCCGTCGACTACGTCGTGGTCGTCGTTGTCGTCGCCATCGTCGTCGTCGCCGTCGCCATCGTCGTCGACGTCGCCGTCGTCGTCATAGTCGTCGTCATAGTCGTCGTCGTCGTCGTCGTCGTCGTCACCGTCGTCGCCGTCGTCGTCGTCGTCGCCGGCGTCGCCGTCATCGTCTTCGACGTTGTCGTCGTCGTCAACGTCGTTCATGTCGTCGCAGTCGTCAGCGTCGTCGTTGTCGCCGTCGTCAAGGTCGTCGTCGTCAACGTCGTCGTCGTCAACGTCGTCGTCGTCAACGTCGTCGTCGTCGTTGCCGTCGTCGTCGTCGTCGCCGTAATCGTCGCTGGCTTCAACGTCGTCGTCGTCGTCGACGTCGTCGTCGCTGTCTCCGCCGTATTCGTCGTCGTCGTCGTTATTGTCGTCGTCGTCAACGTTGTCGTCATTATCGCCGTCGTCGTTGACGCCGTCGTCGTCAATGTTGTTCAGATCGTCGTCGTCGTCGCCGTCGTCGTTGCCGCCGTCGTCGCCGTCGTCGTCGCCGTCGTCGTCGTCATCATCGACGTCGTCGCCGTCATCGTCGTCGTCGTCGTCGTCGCCGTCGTCGTCGACAACGTCGTCGCCGTCGTCAACGTCGTCATCGTCGTCGCTGTCGTCGTCGTCGTAGCCGTCGTCGTCGTCGTCGTCGTCGTCATAATCGTCGTCGTCGTCGTCGTAAGCCGTCGTCGTCGTCGTCGCCGCTGCCGCGGTCGTCGTCAACATCGTCGTCGTCGTCGTCGTCATCGTCGTCGCCGTCAACTTCGTCGTCGTCGTCATCGTCGTCGACAACGTCGTTTGGGTCGTTCTCGAAGTCGTCGCCTTTGTTGTCGCCGTCGTCGTCGCCGTCGCCCTCGCCGTCGCGATCGCTGTCGTCGTCGTCAACGTCGCCGCCGTCGTCGTCAACGTCGTCGTCGTCGTCGTCAATGTCGTCGCTGCCAACGTCGTTCATGTCGCCGTCGTCGTCGTCGTCGTCGTGGTCAACGTTGGCCACGTCGTTACCGTCGTCAAAGTCGTGGTCGCGGTCGTCAACGCCGTTGCGGTCAATCGTTGTTCATGTCGTCGTCGTTGCCGTCGTCGTCGTTGTCGTTGTCGGCATTGGCGTCGTCGGCAACGTCGTTCATGGCGTCACTGTCGCCGTCGTCGTCGTTGTCGTCGTCGTTGTCGTCAACGCCGTCGGCGCCGTCGTCGTCGTCGCCGTCGTCGTCGTCGTCGTCGCTGTCGTTTGTCGTCGTTTTACGCAGTCGTCATTTCCGCCGTCGTCGTGGTCGACGTCGCCGTCGTCGTCGCCGTCGTCGTCACCGTCGTCGCCGCTGCCGTCAGAGTCGTCGTCGTCGTCGTCAACGCACTCGTCGTCGTCAACGTCGGCGTTGTCGTTGTTGCCGCTGTCGGCTTCAATGTCGTCGCCGTCGTCGTCGTCGTCGTCGTCGTCGTCGTCGTCATCGTCGTCGTCGTCGTCGTTAGCGTCGGCGCCGTCAACTGCGTCCATGCCGTCGCCGTCGTCGTCGTCGCCAACGTCGTCGCCAACGTCGTCAACGTCGTCGTCGCTGCCGTCGTCGTCAACGCCATTGCCGTCGTGGTAAACGTTGATGTCGTCAATCGTCGTTCATTTCGTCGTCGTCGGTGTCGTCGCCGTGGCCGTCATAGTCGTCGTCGTCGTCGTCGTCAGCGCCGTCGTCGTCATCGTCGCCGCCATCGTCGATGTCGCCGTCGTAGCCGTCATCGCCGTCATCGCCGTCGTCGTCGTCAATGTCGTCGTTGCCGCTGTCGTCAACGTTGTCCTCGCCGTTGTCTTCGTCGTCAGCGTCGTCGCTGCCGTCGTTGTTAACGTCGTTGGTGTCACCGTCGTCGTCAACGTCGTCATTGTCGTCAGCGCCGTCGTCGCCGTCGTCGTCGTCAATGTCGTCGTCGCCGCTGTCGTCAACGTTGTCCTCGCCGTTGTCTTCGTCGTCAGCGTCGTCGCTGCCGTCGTTGTTAACGTCGTTGGTGTCACCGTCGTCGTCAACGTCGTCATTGTCGTCAGCGCCGTCGTCGCCGTCGTCGTCGTCAATGTCGTCGTCGCCGCTGTCGTCAACGTTGTCCTCGCCGTTGTCTTCGTCGTCAGCGTCGTCGCTGCCGTCGTTGTTAACGTCGTTGGTGTCACCGTCGTCGTCAACGTCGTCATTGTCGTCAGCGCCGTCGTCGCCGTCGTCGTCGCCATCGTCGACGTCGCCGTCGTCGCCGTCATCGCCGTCGTCGTCGTCAATGTCGACGTCACCGCTGTCGTCGTCAACGTTGTCCTCGTCGTTGTCGTCGTCAGCGTCGTTGTCGCCGCCGTCGTCGTCGTCGTTGTCTTTACTGTAGTCATCGTCAATGTCGTTCAGGTCGTCGTCGCGGTTGTCGTCGCCGTCGTCGTTGTGGTCGCCGTTGTCATCGTCGTCGTCGCCAATGTCGTCGTCGTCAACGACGTCTTCGCCATCGTCGTCAACGTCGTCGTCGTCAGCATCGATCATGTTGTCGTCGCCGTCGTCGTCGTCATTGTCGTTGTCGTCAAGGTCGTCGTCGTCAACGTCGTCAACGTCGTCGTCGTCAACGTCGTCGTCGGCGTCGTCGTCGTCGTCAACGTCGTCGTCGTCGTCGTCACCCTCGTTTTCGTCGTCGCCGTCGCCGTCGTCATCGTCATTATAGTCGTCCGCTTCATCGTCGTCGTCGTTGTCAACATCATCGTCGTCAACGTCGTTCATGTTGTCGCCGTCGTCGTCGTCGTCAATGTCGTCGTCGTCGTCAAGCTCGGAGTCGTCATTGTCGTCGTCGTCGTCGCCAAAGTCGTCGTGGTCGTCGTCGTCTGTCGTTTGTCGTCGTTGTCATTGTCGTCGTCGTTGCCGTCGTCGTCGTCAACGTCGTTGTCGTCAAACGTCGGTCATGTCGTCGTCGCCGTCGCTGTCGTCGCCAACGTCGTCGTCAACGTCGTTCATTTCGTCGTCGCCGTCGTCAACGTCGTTGTCGCGATCGTCGATCGTGTCGTTGTCGTCGCCGTCGTTGTCAACATCGTCGTCGTCGTCGCCGTCGTTGTCGTCGTCGTCGTCAACTTCGTCGTAGTTGCCAACGTCGTCGTCGTCGTCAACGTCGTCGTTGTCAGCGTCGTTCATGTCGTAGCCGTCGTCGTCGTCAACGCCGTCGTCGTCGTCGTCAACGTCGTCGTTGCCAATCGTCATTCATGTCGTCGTCGTCGCCGTCGTTGTCATCGTAGTTCATGTCGTCGTCGTCGTCGTCAACGTCGTCGTCGTCGCCGTCGTCGTCTTGGTCGTCGTCGTCGTCAACGACGTTAATGTCGTTGTCGTCGCCGTCGTCGTCAACGTCGTCAACGTCGTCGTGGCCGTCATTCCTGTCGTCGTCAACGTCGTCGTCGTTGTCGTTGTTGTCGTCGTCAAAGTCGTCGTCAATGTCGTCGTCAACGTCGTCAATGTCGTCGTCAACGTCGTCGTCAGCGTCGTCGTTGTCGCCGTCTTCGTCGTCGTCAACGTCGTCGTCCTCGTTGTTCATGTCGTCGCCGTCGTCGCCAACGTCGGCATCATTGTCGTCGTCAACGTCGTCGTCGTCGTCAACGTCGTTGTCGTCAATCGTCGTTCATGTCGTCGCCGTCGTCGTCGTCGTCGTCAACATCGTTTATGCGGTCGTCGTCATCGTCGTCAACGTCGTTGTCATCGTCGTCAACGTCGTCGTCTTCGTCGTCGTCGTCATTGTCGTCGTCGTCGCCGTCGCCATCGTCGTCGTCAAAGCCGTCGTCGTCGTCAGCGTCGGTCATGTCGTTGTCGTCGCCGTCGTCGTCAAAGCCGTCGTCGTCGTCGTCGTCGCCGGGTTCATCGTCGTTGTCGTCGTCAACATCGTCGAGGTCAACGGCGTCGTTGTCGCTGTCAACGGCGTTGTCGTCAATCGCCGTTCATGTCGTCGCCGTCGTCGTCGTCGTCGCCGTTGTCGTCAACGTCGTTCATGCCGTCGTCGTCGTCACCGTCGTCACCGTTGTCGTCAACGTCGTCGTTATCGTCGTCGTCGTCGTCGTCGCCGTCTTTGTCGTCGTCGTCATCGTCGCCTGGACGCCCTGGGAGGATCGGCCGGTCGCCGCGCGTGCAGAAGGCCCTGCGCGAGGTCCTCGGCGCGGGGGGGCCCGCGCCCTCCTCGCTGCTGCAGCTGGGGCAGGCGCCTCCGGCGGGGGGGGGCGCCAATTGACCACCAGGCCACCAGGGGCGCTGGAGACCTCGTCCTCGTCCTCGACGTCGTCCTCTTCGTCCTCGACGTCGTCCTCGTCCTCCTCGTCCTCCTCGGTCTCTTCCTCCTCGTCTTCGTCCTTCTCGTGCTCCTCGTCCTCGACGTCGTCCTCCTCGTCCTCGGCCTCATTTTCCTCCTCCCCCCCCCTCGTCGTCTTCTTTTTCTCCCCCCCCTCCATCTCCTCCTCCTCCTCCTCCTCCTCGCTGCTGCAGCTGGGGCAGGCGCTTCCGTGGGGGCGGGGGGGCCTCCGCCGGCGGAAGGTGGCGGAAGGCTGTCTGAGGGCGGCGGAAGTAGAAGATGCACCCCGAAGAGGTGAAAGCGTTTTAAAGGTCAGGGTTTCCGAAATCCGCCAGCTGTCGACCAGAGGCATTGTTGGGGGGGGGATTCATCTCGATCCTCCCATCCGGGTCTGGCCCACCGCGCCTGTTGGGGGGGACTCGTCTCGATCCTCTCCAATCCGTTTCTGGCCCACCGCGCCAGCTGTCGACCAGGGGCATTGATGGGAGGGACCCGTCTCGAGGTCCGAGGTTTTCGAGCTTTATCGCACGTCCTCGGCGATGCGACTTTCCGGCCTCGGGGTGCTCTCAGACAGTCTCGCCTCGCCGAGGGCGTTCCTGGGGGGCCCCCCATGGTTCTGAGAGGCCGCCAGGGGCCCGAGCTGTGGCCCGGGAGCCACCGCGAACGTTTGCTCAGCGCGTCGCTGCTGGCTCTGGCCCAGCACGCTTCGGCACGACACGCTGTCCCCAGACGTGATCGCGTCGTAAACAAAAAGCAGGACGACAATTTCTCGCCGTTCTCGGCCTCTGGAGGCCCTCGCCGGGCCCCGGGACCGTCAGAAAACGACTCAGGAGGCAAATCCAGTCCCAGGGAAAGGGTCGGGACTTCTGGGGACCGCGTATTGAAATTACCCGGTGACATACCCAACCCTTTCTAATCATGGCGAATGTATACATATATTTATATACATATATGTGTTTAGTTACCAGCATCTATATACACACCTGCATATATGTATGCATACACATGCATACATACATACATACATACACAAACATACATACATACATACATACATACAGACATACATACATACATGCATACATACACACATACATACATGCATACATGTATACACACATACATACATGCAAATATATACATACATACATACATACATACATACATACATACATACATACCTACATACATACATACATAGATACATACATAGATACATGCATACATACATACATACATACATGCATACGTACATATATAAATACATACATACATACATGCATACATACATACACACATACATCGGTACACACACATACATACATACATGCATACACACATACATACATACATACATACATACATGCCTACCTATCTACCTACCTACATACACACATACACACATACACACATACATACATACATGCATACATACATACATACATACATACATACATATACCTACAAACAAACATACATAAATACATACGTCCGTACGTACATACATGCAAATATGCATACATGCATACAAGCATGCACACATACATACACATACACATACACAAATATGCACATATACAGGCACACATACACATACATACACATACATGCATACATACATACATTCATATACATATGTATGAATCTATACACATACATACACACATACAGGCACATACATACACGCACACATACATGTATACACAGATACATCTCCACATACCATACACATTCACATGTATATACATATACATATACATATACACCGATCTCTCTCTATATATATATATATATATGTATATACACACACTATAAGCGGCATCTGGGGGCCCGCGGCCCAGGGTCGCACACTTTTCTCAAACTCCTTCCCCCCCCCCCCGTAACCGAATTTGCCCCCTGGGCTGCGGGGGCCTTTTTTGGCATCCAGGGGCATGTTTTCGGAGTCACGGAACTTTTTCCGCTTCCCCGAGGCGTCCACCTAGGCTTCTGGAGACGGCAAGAAGCCGCCAAGACGGCCCAAGAGCGCTCCAAGCCGCCCAAGACGGCCCCTTGATCGGCCCAAGAGGCCCCCAAGATTCCCCAAGGTCGCTCCGCGAGGACCTCCAAAAAAGCCCCAAGACGCCCAAATCATTGATTTCCATTATGTGTTTCCAATATTTGTTGCTTCTCACGTTTTCGAGCGGCCGACACTCCAAGACTGCCCAAGAAGCCTCCAACGTCGCCCCAAGAGGCCACCGAGAGGCCCCCAAGAGGCCCCCAAAACAGCCCAAAAGGGTCGCATGATCGGCCCAAGAGGCCCCCAAGACGGCCCAAGAGGGCCTGACGAGGGCCTGAAGACGGCTCCAAGATGGGCCCAAGAGAGGGAACGCGAACCGACCTTTCGAGTTTCCCGCCCCCAGAGACCCCCAGGAGGCCCCAAGAGGCCCCCAAGTGACTCCAAGAGGCTCCAAAGAGGCCTCAAAGATGCTTAAGAGAGGTCCAACACGCTCCACAACGTCCACGTGGAGGCTTCAAACCTGCTTCCAAAAGGCCCCCCGAGAGGCATCCCACGATATCATCCCAGCGAACACCGAGAAGCCTCTAACCCACAACCCAGACACGGTGGCGGGATGGGCCAAGAACTGCGACCTCTGGTTTGCATGGGGGGCTGAGGGGGCCTTGAGGGCTCCAAGAGGGTTCAGAAGGGGCCCCGGACCCCTCCACAGGCTCCCAAGCTGGCCCAAGATATTCCTAGGAGGCTCCAGAGAGCCCCCCAAATGCCCGAACAGAGGCGCCCTCTGCCCCAAGAGGCCCCCAGGAGGCCCCAAGAGACTCCCAGGAGACCTCCACGACGCCCCAAAAAGCCACCGAAAAGGCTCCAGAAAGATCCGAGAAGCTCCCGAGAAACCCCCTCCGAGCTCGCAGGAGGCCTCTACACAGACCCTCAGAAGCCCGCCAGAAGCCCTTCGTCCTCCATGCTCCAGAATAGCCCTTCGGAACACGTGGCCCTGGCTGCACCCCCCGACCCGCCCACCCAATGTCGAGGCCCGAGGACGCCCCCATGACGCCCGCAAGACGCTCCGGAAACGCCTCTCCCGCACACGTGAATCAGGTGACAATGATGCTGATCGTCGATGGTCCGTCGTCGTCGTCGGTCGTCGCTGGTACGCTACAGGCCAAACCCTTCCTTGAACTTCGCAGTATCCGCCCGAAAATCACGCATGGGTGAAAGGGAGGGACCCGGAAGACCACATGGGAAAGGTCCCATGGAAATTGGCACCGTCTTCGGAGTCGACTAGACCCTAAGCGCGCGCGAAGCGCGCGTGGTTCTAGTATGTATTTAACTACACACTTATTACGCATACCTATACAGATATACGTAGATATACATCTAACTTTGCACACACATACACATACACATACACACACCTATACACGCATGCATGTATGCATGCATGCACGCATGCGTGCAGACAGACGGAGACAGAGACAGAGACAGAGACAGAGACAGAGACAGAGACAGAGGCAGAGACAGAGACAGACAGACAGACAGACAGACAGACAGACAGACAGACATACATACATACATACGTACGTACGTACATGCATGCATGCATGCATGTATGCATACATGCATGCATACACACACATATACATACATGCGTACATTCATATATATACAAACAAACATACGTACATACATATATACATACCTACATACCTACATACCTACATACCTACATACATACATGCATACATACAGGCATACATGCATACAGGCATACATACATGCATACATACATGCATGCATGCATGCATGCACATACATACATACATGCATGCATGCATGCATACATCCATACCTACATACAAACATACCTACATACATACAAACATACATATATACAAATTTATACATACATACATTCATTCGTTCACCTACACATACATACACATACATAATTACATACATGCATACATACATACATACATACACGCATGTATACATATACCCATATTGAACCGCTCAGTGCAAACAAACATGTTTAATGACCCGCAGCGCGCATGAGTTCCCAGACGTACACAAGAAAGCATGCAGGAGTAAGCAACAGCGATGCGGACACATAAGCACAAATAGGGGTGTGAAGGAGGGACGTACGTGTTCAGTAATAGTAGCAGCGCCGAGCGCTACATACGCGGGAACGAACAGCGCCATGTGCTCGCTCTACAGAGCAGCGAGTCGCGCTGAGCGAAGCAAGCGCGCGGCATGACAAGGCGGGAGGATGAGAGGCCACGCGGACAATAACCAGCGCCACGCGCTGCGTGGCGCAGCGGCTCCCTGCGAGCTGAGATGCGACAGCGCCGCGAGGTCCCAACTGGATCCCCGTACAACTCCACTCCGCGCGACCTCCCAGGAGCCCACGAATGTGGCGACGGTTGCACAGTACGGAGACCCCCAAGGAGCCGCGAGGTCCCAACTGTGTCTGTGTACCATTCCACTCCGCGCGACCTCACAGGAGTCCACGAACGTGTCGACGGTTGCGCACTTCGCAGCCACCCAGGGAACCGCGGCGAGGTCCTAACTGCGTCTGCGTACCACTCCACTCCGCTCGACCTCCCAGGAGCCCACGAACGTGTCGACAGTTGCGCACTTCGCAGCCACGCAGGGAGCCGCGAGGTCCCAAGTGGGTCCGCGCACCACTCCACCCCGCTGGACCCTCAGGAGCCCACGAACGTGGTGACAGTTGCGCACTTCGCAGCCGTCCAGGGACGCAAGCAGGACGAAGGAGAGAAGGGAGGCACAAGAGATGGATAAGACGACAGGAGGCAGGAAGTAGGAGGCAGGAGACCAGGGGGGGGAAGGAGGGAAAGGAGAAGACGCGACCACAGTGCTCTGTTCAAAACGAGAACCTACCGAAGAGGGTTGGGAAACATCGGCAGGATTTTGCATGTCTGGGACCACGTCCTCGTTCCTAGTCGACGTCCCTAGTTTTTCCAAGCCTCCCGCCTCGCGGAGCGGAGCGAAGCGTTATCCGCTTGCAGGGCACAGCGTTTCGCCAGGGCTGCCGCTGCGACACGCTGAGCAAGGGTTCCCGAGCGTATGGGGGGTGGTCTCACGGGGGAACGCATCGACCCCCGATTGCCAACTCATCACTACAAGGGGCCTGATAGCCCAACCCGCCCAGGAACGTGCGGTTTCGCTATCGGGGTCCTTTCACCGATCTATTCGTATATCGGCGATGCATGGCTGATTCCGGTTCGATGTTCCCCCCCGTGAGTTGGTCCCCCTCTAACCCTTAAAATTGCCCCTCGTCCAATCGAAGGAACAACACCTGCATGAACAGAAGCTTTCGGAGGTCCGCGCGGTTTCTTGGATCGGCGCTAGATCTCCTTCGCGGCGCATCTGGCGCCGCCCCCAGGGCGCGCTCCGCCCACCAGGGAGGGGGGTCAGCGCTGATCAAAGGAGTCCGCTCAGAGCTCCGAACATGTTTGCTTATACCAGTGCTTGTTGGCTCACTCCAGGAGACGGCCGCTGCCTTCTGAGAAGCCCCCCGCCTCCTTAGATCAGCCGCCCTGCCCAAATCCTATCAAAACCGGTCTTTGGACCTTCTTGTGGTCCATCCTTCAGGGCGCTGGAGACGGGAGCACATCAAACGGGGGCACGGGGAGCGCGGATTTCCACGTTTGGCTGTGCCTCTGCTTAGGGGGCCCTAGGCGCCGCAGACGTGGGCATAGCAACCGGGGGAATGTGGAACATCTTAGGCCCCCGTTTAGCTATGCCCCCGCCTACGAGGCCACGCATCCTGACCAGAGGAGGAGGAGCAGGAGGAGGAGGAGGAGGAGAGGAGGAGGAGGAGGAGGAGGAGGACGACGACGACGACGAGGAGACAAGAGGAGGCAGAGGATGAGGGGGATGAGGAGGAGGAGGAGGAGGAGGAGGAGGCGGAGGACGACGAGGAGACAAGAGGAGGCAGAGGATGAGGGGGATGAGGAGGAGGAGGAGGAGGAGAGGAGGAGGAGGAGGAGGAGGATGGGGAGGAGGAGGAAGAGACAGAGGACAGAGGAGGAGGAGGAGGAGGAGGAGGAGAGGAGGAGGAGGAGGAGGAGTGAGGAGGAGGAGGAGGAGGAGGAGGAGGGAGGGGGAGGAGGGGGAGGAGGAGGAGGAGGAGGAGGAGGAGGAGGAGGAGAGGAGGAGGAGGAGGAGAGGAGGAGGAGGAGGAGGAGGAGGAAGAGGAGGAGGACGAGGGGAGGAGGAGAGGAGGAGGAGGAGAGAGGAGGAAGAGGAGGAGGATGAGGAGGAGGAGGAGAGACGAGGAGGAGGAGGAGAGGGGGAGGAGGAGGAGAGGCGGAGGAGGAGGAGGAGGAGACGAGAGGAGGAGGAGGAGGAGGTGGATGGAGGAGAGGAGACAGAGGAGGAGGAGGAGGGAGGAGGAGGAGGAGGAGGAGGAGGAGGAGGAGGAGGAGGAGGGGGAGGAGGAGGAGAAGGCGGAGGAGGAGGAGGAGGAGACACGAGGAGGCAGAGGAGGAGGAGGCGGAGGAGGAGGAGGAGACAGAGGAGGTGGAGGAGGAGGAGACAGGAGGAGGAGGAGAAGGAGGAGGAGGAGGAGGAGGAGCCCTGAGTTCCGACGCTGCGGAACAGTTACAACACCGCGAATTGTCACCATTGGCAAGGCTTGAGCTCGGGCTCGGGCTAGGGCTAGGGCTTGGACTCGGGCCTCTGGTCAGGCTCGGACTCGGTCCCAGGCTCGGCTCTGGTGCGGTCCCAGGCTCGAACTCGGGCTCGGGCTCGGGCCCAGAGCCCATCTCTCTGCGGCTCTGTTCGGTGCGGGTCGATATGTGATGGCCCCGGGGCCCGAAGCTTGGCGAAAACGCCGTGTGTGAACAAAAAGGCATCGCCCAGATCTCAACTGGCTTCTGGTTACAGCGCATCTTGGGAGAGGTCCGGGGCGTAGCGGCATCGGTGTCGTTGGGCTTCCCCGGGTCCTCCTCGATCCTCTCCTCCTCCTCCTCCTCCTCCTCCTCCTCCTCCTCCTCCTCCTCCTCCTCTGTCTCCTCCTCCTTCTCCTCCTCCTCTTCCTCTTCGATCCTCCTCCTCCTCGTCGTCCTCCTCCTCCTCCGCCTCCTCCTCGATCGTCCTCCTCCGGGATCTCAGAGAGGACAGCCGTTGTCTCGACGGGCTTTCCTGGGGTCAGGGCCCCCCCCCCCCCCTCGCGCCAGCCCCGTCGTGCGCACGCCCCCCGATCGCGGGTCGGAGTGGGGCACCGCAGGCGCCGCCGCCCGCGAAGGTGAAGACGCCGGGGGCCAGCTCCAGGAAGTGCGTCAACGGGCAGGTGGTCGGCACGCCCGGGAGGGGGGGGCGGAAGGTATGGTCGGCGGCGAGGGGGGGGCTTCGGGATTCGTAGTTTCGGGTTCGAGGTTTTTGGGCGTTTTCGTTGTTTCCTTGCGGCTTTCCGTCCTCGGGATGCGTTCCAGCGGCTGCGCCTCGCCGAGAGCGTTCCAGGGGTGCCTGAATTGTCCCGAACGGCCGCGGGAGAGCCGAGAGCCGAGTTATGACCCGAAAGCCAATTTCGGTGGCGAGCGAGGGGGGGAATTGAGAAGGAGGAGGCCTTCTCAGAAGGGGGCGGGGCTTCTCGGAAGTCCTCGCGCCTTCCGAGAAGTTATCTGCGTCTTCGGGGAAGGCTTAGACCACTTCTCAGATGGCCAGGGAACTTCCGAGTCTTCTGAGGAGGCCCGCCCCTTCTCGCTTCCCCCTCACGCTCGCCGCCAAGATGGGTACAGTCAAGACGCTGAGGTAAGGAGCAGTTTGGGTTCGGAAGGGGGCTCGATGTTCCTCGGGTCCTTCCATGGCTGCTCCTCTGGCCCTCCTCGTGAACACTGTTGGGGCCAAAGAGGGGCTTCGATCATTAGCAATCGTTCCTTGTTTCAGCAGCCCGACTGTACGATGGCCAGCAGCAGCGCCTATTCATCTGGAACAAGACTTGGCGTGCTGCGGGTCCCGTCGGACAGCAAGTCTTGTCAATTCGTCGGCAGTCCTTATCCATTTGACGGGGCCTGTTGTCCACATGGATGGGCAAGACTTGCTGTCCAGATGACAAGAACAGCTGTCAGGAGGGTTCGAAGGGCAGCGACTTCTTGTTCCACATGAACAGGCACTGCGGTTGGGCATCGTACCCACACTTTCCGTCCCCATTTCGGGCGTGCAGAGGTGAACTGCGGCTACCTCCACGACCTCATGGCTTTGGAGTGGGGCAAGTTCAAGGACCCGAGATCAGATGAGGAAAAGGTACCGATACTGATGCCCTTCCCTCGCTTTCGATCTGCCGGGCCCCCAGGGAGGCCCTCGCCGCCACGGCTGGACTCGCTTCGCGAAGTTCTGGTCAGAACGCACCCCGGGATAGGTGCAGGGAGTGCCGGTATCGGTGCACTTTGGTTTCCCCACGAAGGTCGCCGTCTGGTCTTCTCTTGCCTTTCTCGCCTCCCTGGCCTCGCCCTCCTGCTCCCTGTCTTCCTTCTCCTCTGTGGCGGTTGCTTCGAATGGTGGAGTCCCCGTTCCCTCAGTGGGGACCCTGGCAATGCGCATCATCAGCGCGTTAGATTCGTTCGTAAAGAAAGCGGCATAAACAGAAGCGTTCGGACATCCGTGTGGATTTTCTGGATCGGCGCCGGGACCCCCTGGCGTTAAGTCGGGCATGTCCCTCCACAGGAGGAAGATTCAAGACTAGTGAACTAAGAGTCTGGTGGCGATTGTTCGTGCTCTTTTGACTCTTTTCGATCATTTTCGGATGAGTTCTGTCTGCTAAAATCTGCCCGTCGGAGGACGTGCCCGGCCTAACCCTGGCGGCGCTCCGCGCCAGGGAGGGGGTGTCCAGCGTCGATCCAAGAAATCCGCGTGGGCCTCCAACAGATTATGCTCACATGCCTTGTGCAGTTGCTTGTTCATCTAACGTGAGTGTTTTCTTATGTATTGTTTTGCCGATTGGGGCGGCCCTCGCCCCCCCCCTCCCCCCCCTACTGCGGGATGACGATTAACCAAAAAATGGGAGAGAACGATTCAAAGAATAGTTTTCTGTTATTTCTGCACAATTTTCGGACTGGAGGAGAACGATTAGAAAAATAGTTTTCCAGCCCGCGGCCGGTTTTTTTCTAATCGTCATCCCGGGCGCCGCCGCGTGAACACGACCCCCGGTCATTTATTAATCGTCATCCTCCATTCTGGAGTAGGTCTTGGCTGGTTTTGGCGCCTGTTTCGAGCAGGTGGAGCCTCCCCCATGGGACGCACGGTTGCGAACAGTCGCATCAGGCACAGGTCTGGAGCCAGACCCGCGCCCACTTCCGCCCAATGTCGAAACGCCGAAAAAGAAAACGTTCACCTGCGTAAGGGGGGGCTTTGGCGCCGATCCGAGAAATCAGATCGGACGTCCAAAAGTTCTATGGTTGGTGTGTTTTCTATGTCGCCTTCTAAGGATCTCGTCGATGAGCTCACGTACATCATGCAGCGCAACCGCGACGCCTACGAGGGCGAGAAGGAGAACATGAATGAGCAGATAGCGACCCTGAGGAACAACAAGATGAAGTTCACAGAGATGTTGGGCGAGGCGGTCTCTGAAATCAACTCGCTCACGGCGGCGACGCGCGAGAAGCAGCAGCAGCACCGCGACATCGAACATGCGTTCAAGATGAAGATGGCGGACTGTAAGAAACGCATGAGCGAAATCCTCTACACTAACATTTGTGGAACCAGAACCGTGCGCAATTCTCTGATGCGGTACAGCACTGTCTCGCCCACCAACACGATCAAGGACTGCGACGTGACGGACTGGTCTGCCTCCTCCGCCTCCTCCTCCTCCTCGTGCCAGTCCCCCCTCCCCAATCCTTGTGCTCCCTTCTCTGTTTCTCACTCCCAGAGCTCCGACGCCGTCATTTCTTCACAACCCTCGACCTCCACCTTCCGCGCCTCATACGCACCTTACGCACGGCAGATGCCGCGCAGCGGCCGCCCCCGGCGCGGCAGACGCGGCGGCCACCGCCGAGGTCGCAGCGGCGTTCTCAGCGGTCACCGCGGCCTCCCCGCGGCGGCACCTGCTGCGCGGAAGGAGGAGGAGGGGGAGGAGGAAGAGGAGGAGGAGGAGGAGGAGGAGGAGGAGCAGGAAGGAGGAGGAGGAGGATGTCATCGAGGAGGAGGAGGAGGAAGAGGAGGAGGAGGAGGAGGAGGAAGAGTAGGAGGAGGAGTAGGAGGAGGAGGAGGAGGAGGAGGAGGAGTGGAGGTCGAGGGGCCGTGGACTCCGGAGGTCTGGATCCGGTGATTCTGATTGGATGTGGCCTCATCCTCCATCCTTCCTGACCGATTTTCTTGGGTCCCAGCCAGTGCAGACCCCCCGTCTGCCTCCAACCCGGATCCATCTTTGAGGGTCCCGGGGCCCGAGAATCGGCCCCAGGGCCCCAGGGGCCGAAATCCAAGGGAAACGCTCAGGTTCGTGTTTGTCTCCTGTCACACGCAAGAAAACAAGTCGTCGGAGATCTGGGTTACCCCTGGGGCCTTCGGTGGAGCTCCCTATGAGGTCACGACGCGCGTGAGGGGGGTGCCGAACTGGTTGACATGCGAAGGGCATAGAGGCAGGGATGGGAGGTGGGAGGACAGGGAGGAGGAGGAGGAGGAGGAAGAGGAGGAGGAGGAGGAGGAGGAGGAGGAAAGGAGGCAGAAGGAGGAGCGCGGGGCGCTGTCTCTTCAAAGTGGAGACCCAACACCACAGGATGGTTGGGAACAACAAATTGCCGGAGATCTGGATCCCCAGATGGCTGAACGCGATGCGATAGCGTCTTGCGCGCTCGGGTTTGGCCTCCCCGCGGCCCCCGACAGTCGCGCACCACAGGGCACTCCTGCCTACGGCCACTTTCTCGTGCAGCCGAATCCATCTTGGATGGCACCGAGGAGCCTTTGAGGAACCCGAGACACCCGTGCTTCTATCCAGGTAAGAACCCCTGATAGGCAGGCCTCCTTGGAGGAAGAGATGGGCGCAGGTCGTCGGAGGTCTGGGTCGCCAGGTCCGCGGGGCCGTGCACCACCGACGGGAGGGGCAGCTCGGCGTCGGTGGACTGCGACGACGCCTGCCCTGCCGACGTCGGGGGCGTCGACGTGGACACGTGCGGCGGCATGAAGCAGCTCACGCGGCAGGTCATCGTCTCTCCGAACTCGTTTGGCAGCCGGGAAGAAGCAGGGCGCGCACAAAAAACCGGTTTGTTTGTATGCGCCTCGGGATTCGGAGACATCCTGAGGGACTCCATCGCGCATGAGGCGAGCCTGACCAAAGCTCTTTTGGATTATTCGGCGTGGGTAATCATCATCGTCCCTCCGGACTCGTTCGACAGCCAGACAGAAACAGGGCTGAACCTCGACCCTCTCCCCAGACACCCCCTGACGCGATTTGCTTTCGATCTGCGGCCCCATCTGCTCCCAACGGTCTTTCGTCCCGGATCTTGGAGCCGGCCGCGGGTCTCTGAGGTGGCTGCAGCATTGGTTCCGGTGAGCAGGAAGGGGGGGGCAGGCTCGAGGTTCTGGGTTCGGGAAGGTGTTTTTGGTTTTTTTCTGCTTCTGGGGGCTGTTTTCAGGCCCCGGGGCCTTCAAAAACGGATCCAGGGCGAACAACGCATGCGCCAGATGGACCCCAGGAGGGTTCTAGGGACAGATTTTTTGAGCCCCCCGCTTCGGACCGATGTTCTGGGGCAGGTTGTCCTTAGGTTTTCGATGGGGAATCGAAGTTTAACTTATTGAAAAAAGGGGCCTCGTTCCTTATTTAGGGTTCCTTAGGTCAACGCCCCGACTGTATATGTTTCTGTTTCCGCTCCGGGCGTGTTTCATGGATGTCGGCCCCTGGGCATGGGGTCGGGGCCTCGATCTGGGGCCGCGCTTCGGCAAAACGATATCGTCGGATGGTTGGGAACGTTCGGAGGCTCGCAGATCTCGTGTGTCGGCGCTGGACCCCCCTCCCGCGCTGCCCCTGGAGTCCAGCTCCGATCAAAGAAAAATCCGAACGTGGCTCCGACAGTCCATGTTTATGCCGACGACCTTTCTCCTTCTAGGCATGGCGTGCCCCCCCTTGTTCTTCGAGCGGACGAACGGGACCGCGGGCATGAAGTGCAACCAGTTCCACTGCCCGGTCAACTGCCAGGTGTCCGAGTGGTCCGACTTCTCCGCGTGCTCGAAGGAGTGCGGGGGGGGCACCCAGGGCAAGACCCGGTCGATCCTCACGAAGCCGAAGAACGGCGGGACGGAGTGCGATACGACACTCGAGGAGCGGCCGTGCAACACAGGGTCGTGTGACCGCGACTGCACGCTCATGCCATGGACACCGTGGGCACCCTGCTCGATGGCCTGCGGGGGCGGCATCCAGGAGCGCCACCGCAAGGCCAGCAGGGGGCCTCAGAGAAGGCACGCCCAGCTGCGGTGGGGTCCGTGTCGTGCCGACGCGGCGGCGACCCTCCCCCCCGAGCCCACCTCCTCCCGTCGTGGCAGCATGGCGACGGGAGGTTTTGGCCGTCGTCGCTCCCTTTGGGCTCCGGCCGGCCCCCTCGGGGTCCTCCGAGAACGCCTCGGGGCGGCGAGCCGGTGCTTGGGGACGGGTGCAGACCTCACCCAGGGGTCCACGGCGCACGCTGTGAAGCAATTACGGCGTCGAAGTGCCGGGTAAGCGGGTCGGGCGAAAGGGTGAGATTAGGAAAGAGAGGTACGACATCCGTTGCATGCAGCGGGCTTCGGCCCCGTCGCAGGGATCTTTCCTCGACACATGTGGACGCCCTTGGCGCCAGGCGACGTCGTAGAATTCGGCTACGACAGACAATTCGCTAACGCCCCCTTTGCTATCCCCCTCTTCGTCCGCCCTGAAAGGTTGGATGTCGCTGGTGACCCGGAACGGAATCGGCTGACGTCGCACGATCCGCGCTGTTGGAAAGCCGCGATCGTTTTGGGTTGAACGAGCCACGTGTTTTTGGAGACCAACGCGCAAGTCGTCACGCGTCACGACACAAACCCGCCGTACCCCGATTCACCAGTGGGAAGCGGGAGGGAAGCAGCCTCACCACCTCTGGTGGGCCTCCTCCTCCTCCTCCTCCTTCTCCTCCTCCTCCTCCTGCTCCTCCTCCTCTTCCATCTCCTCCTCATTATCCTCCTCCTCCTCTTCCATCTCCTCCTCCTCCTCCTCCTCCTCCTCCTCTTCCATCTCCTTCTTCTCGTCCTCCTCCTCCTCCTCCCCCTCTTCCTCCTCCTCCTCCTCCTCCTCCTCCTCCTCCTCCTCCTCTTCCTCCTCCCTCCCTCCTCCCTCCTCCCTCCTCCCTCCTCCCTTGTCTCCTCCGCCCCCCCTGCTCCTCCTGCTCCTCCTCCTCCTCCTCCTCCTCTTCCATCTCCTTCTCCTCGTCCTGCTCCTCCTCCTCCTCCTCCTCCTCCTGCTCCTCCTCCTGTCTTCTCCTCTTCCTCTCTAGTCGTCTGCGTGACGGACGGCCCCACGGTCTTGGGCCTTTTCTGGCCTTCTCGGGGGGCCCTCGCACCAGGCCCCGGGACCGTCAACACAACAAGAACGGCTTGGGATGAGAATCCGGTCCAAAGGGAAGGGGTCCAGACTTCCGGGGCCCGCGTTGTGCAAAAATCACGGCGTCGGAGTTCTGGGAAGGCCACGTCCCCAGACATACTCGCGTCGCTAAAAAAAACACGACGGGTTGTTTTCGCCGTGTTCGGTCTGGAGGCCCTCGCCGGGCCCCGGGACCGTCAAAAAACGACTCAGGATGAGAAGCCGGTCCCAGGGAAAGGGTCGAGACTTCAGGGGACCGCGTGTTGAAAAAAATTGGACGTCGCATGTCTGGGAGAAGGTAACGTCAGGAGCCCTCTGGGGTGCGTGGCCGTGTTAGGGCGACCCCGGAGGTTTCTTGGGTTGTTTTGGATGGTGTGATCGCAGGAGGAACGAATGTACTAAATATGCAGGTTGTCCAGAATGGAAATTGGGGCGGTTGTTGCTCTTCGAGGCCGTCTTGGGACGCCTCTTGAGGGCTTCTTGGGACAACTTGGGGGCGGGGGATCAGTTCAGGCGGAAAAGCATCGACCACAACTACTTCTGGCATGGACTGAATTTTTGTTGAGCAGCCGACCCGCGCGTGACCGCCATTCTATGGCGACCACGTTGCCCCATCCCCCCCCCTCGGCTTCCCTCCTCCTCATCTTCCATCTCCTGCTCCTCCTCCTCCACCTCCTCCTCCTCCTCCTCCGTCCTCGGCCTCGTTCTCATTTTTGGCTTGCTCCGTTCTGCTGGACACGCCACGGCTTCGCGCACGGGCTCGCCGATGGCGGGTCGGCCCGTGCGTGGCTGCGGCCTTGCCTGGCGCATCTCCGCAGCACCATGGCTCGTTGGGGAGTGCGATTGTTCCGCGAGAGGAAAAACCAGTTGCCCCCCACGCATCGCTGCTAGGGGCCCGGCAGCCTACCCCGCCCAGGAACGCGGGGCTCGGGCATCGGGGGCCTGTCGCCGATCTGGCGGCGACGTGGACCCCCCGGAGGTTTGGCCCCTTCCTGGGATTGGGCGTAGCGTAATGGGGAGGCGGTACACGGGGGGCAGCGTAATGGGGGGGCGTCGCGTAACCGGAGGGCGTAAAAGAGGTCCCTTTGGGTTTTAAAAGGGCCTCAAAGGACGGTGCGTTCAGGGCCCCAAACGTGCACCTTTCTTCCCCCCTCGATGTACCGCCCCCCCAGTTAATAGTCGACGCCCAATGGGATAATGATACTCGGCGGCGCACCCAGGTTCCAGGTTCGAGGTCTTCGGTCGTCGGATCTCTGCGGTTTTGTCCACCCTCGGAGCGCGTTCCATCAGCTGCGGCTCGGGGGAGAAGGGAGGATGGGGAGGTCCTCCTCCTCCTCCTCCTCCTCCTCCTCCTCCTCCTCCTCCTCCTCCTCTTCCTCCTCCTCCTCCTCCTCCTCCTCCTCCTCCTCCTCCTCCTCCTCCTCCTCCTCCTCCTCCTCCTCCTCCTCCTCCTCCTCCTCCTCCTCCTCCTCCTCCTCCTCCTATGGTAGTGGTGGTGGAAAGTCGGCCCATCAGCTCTGGGGGGGCCAGGCCGGCCCGAGCGGCCGTCGTAGGCCTGACGTCCGACCCGGAAGCCAGATTCGGCGGCGCGCCCCGGGGGGCGGGCCTCCTCGGAAGGCTCAGAAGGCCTCCGGCCTTTGCTTCCAGGAGGAGGAGGAGGAGGAGGAGGGAGAGGAGGAGGAGGAAGAGGAGGAGCAGGAGCAGGATCAGAAGCAGGAGCAGGAGCACGAGGAGGAGGAGGAGGAGGAGCAGGTGGAGGAGGAGGAGGAGGAGGAGGAGGAGGAGGAGGAAGAGGCTCGGAAGGCTGGAGTGGCGGGCCTTCTCGCCATGCCTTCTCCGATGCCACAGGAGGCTTCTCAGCGGCCTGGGGGCTTCCGAGAAGCCCCGACTCCTTCCGAGAATGCTTGCCCCTCCTGTCACTTCCCCCCGGCCGAAACGCCGACACGCCCACCCAGCGCACGAGGCGGCGCCGATGCGGCATCAACCAGTTACTGGCCGAAGCGCCGACACACCCATCCAGCGCACGCCGCGGCCACGAAGCGGCCAAGAGGCCGCACCGACCGCGCAGCAGCCGATTCCCCGACACACCCACCCAGCGCGCGAGGCGGCCTCAAGCAGGCACCAACCAGGCACCAGCCGAAACCCCGACTCCTCCTCCTCCACCTCCTTCTCCTCCTCCTCCTCCTCCTCCTCATCATCATCATCCTCCCACCCTCCCTCACACCCTCCCTCTCTCCCTCCCTCCCTCCCTCCCTCCCAGCCCATTTCAGAAGAAGCAAGCGGTAGGTGGGCCTCGCTACACCTACTTCGCACCCCTACATCCCAACAGCTTCCTGATGGGCGGGGGGTCGCGCGCCGCCAGGTTGTGGTGGCGACACTCGTGGGTCTGTGACCCATGCGGTGCCAGATGATCGGCTACAACCCGTGCAGCCTCGTCCACACGAGGCGTCTGTTGGAGATCAGTGAATGCATGCGGTCGGCGACGTTCATTGTATTCACGGGTGCCAGTATGATATCCTCCTCTTCTCGATCGGCCTGGTCGCAGAATCAAGGTATCCAATATTTCGTGCACTTTGGATATGGAAGAGGGCCTTATACGAACCGTTGCGCTGGAGTTTCGATTGGTGTGCACAAGCAATGGCACGTGCAGGGCAATCTTACCCGCATGAACACCCGGCCTGACGCGGCCATGGGTCGTGGTGGTTCATTCGCTTGCGAGGCCCTCCGGTTGATGTTGCTACTATTGTGGTGTATCTCCTCCCGGCTGCAGTAGATCGTGCGGCATCTGCTTGGAAGGCTATTGCTGATATGCTACTTGACAGGCTCGATACAGAACTCTCGAAGCTGCCGTGCCGATCGATCCCATCTAATCTACACAGACTTGAACGACTCGTTCTCCACTGCAAATGGCGAACGTTACCGCTGCCTTGGAGATTTCATGCAGCATCGCATGGGATATGCTGGCCGTGCTTTTAGCTGTTGGAGAGACATCACTTGTGTGCGTCTGCGACATGTGTGAAAGTGGCGCTAACGCACTATAACAACGGCCACACGAGCTTCATTGACCGCATGGCATTTCCGTTTGGTCTCCGCTCGCGTGTTTATTAATCTTATACGATGTCACGTCTCGGGCGTCGGCTTCAGTTGTGTCCTCATCGCAGTGCCTTCAATGATAACGTACCTACCCTGCTGAACTTTGAACTGAATATTCCTGTCTCCTCGCCTGCGCCGCGCACCAACTGGGATCAATATTTGATTGCGGAGGCGCTGCGAACACCCGGCTGGCGCGAAACTTTTCTGAATATGTACTACACGTTGCCTCTGTTGATGACGACGCGCGTGTGCATTTGAAAAGTGGGACGTCGATGGGTGAGATTTCGGCGCCTGGTGAGTTCCGCATGGATTTTGCCAAGCACGTCAACACTTGGCGACGTGGGCCCCCGCTGCCTTATTTGCAGGCGTCTTGCCTGCTGGCCCCTCAGCCGACCGACGCGTCGCTCAACGAGTATGCCGACGACTTTTTTTTTGATGTTGCATTACTTGCCTCTGGGCGGCTTGCTGAAGCAGTGGAAGCGGTGCGCTCGCAGCAGAGCGTCAGCGTCGACGTCTTGCCCCAGCGCGGCTACACGCAGAACGTTCGCAAGTAAGTTGTAGCACCTTCTCTCAATCGTCATCATGAAAAACGACGCTTCTATGCTGCTGATTTCTCTGGTGCCACAGTCCTGCCTCATGCGCGCTGCCTTGGTCCGTTCTTCGCGTCCGCTGGCGCGCTTGGTCCGCTGCCCGCGGCGCCAAGCAATGCCGATGCTCCTGGGCGGCGTGGTTGCAGAGATTTCTGGTCTAGCAGGGCCCCCTGGAAAGTCAAGCGGTTGCTGTTCATTAGTGTCGTCCAGGGCGCTCGTCTCTCGGGCCTCGCCCTGTTCTGCCTCCCGCTCGCCCAGACTTACGAGCTCGATCGTGCCCTGCTTCGTCGGATACGTCCGATCGCTCAGGGGCATGCGCGCGACTGGCCGGGCGGGTCCCCATCCCAAATCGCGAGTTCGAGGCGTCTTTGGTTATGGCTAGACCTTACCCCACTAGATTTGAACTACTTATTCAGCGGCTCTGTTGGTATCATAGTATGGTGCGCTGCCCCGAGGACCATGCTCAGCTTTTTTGTAGTTCTTTTGTGGGAGGTTTGCCTTCGAGGATTTCGACGCGACGATTGATTGCGAACTTACGAACGACGCGAACTTGTATGCCCAGCAATTCGTGAGTGATATTGACTGTCTTAGCGCTCTCACTGACGTGGAGGATTGGGCGGAGGCGCGGGGGGTTCGGTAACGAGACTGTTTGAGGATGAGGATGTTCGCCACGCGTTTCTGAAAAGCGGATGTCAGTGCCATTCGAAAGCTCTGGAAACTGGGGCGCGTCGGCCCCCCCGTCAATCTGGCGAGCTGGGCCAAGCTCTTGATGAAAGGGGGAAGGATGGGGATCTGCTGCTCCTAGATTTCGATGTCGGCAGCATTCGGATCGGCAGCATTCGGAGGAGGGGCGCGCGTGCGGGGCTGTCCATGATATGCGCAAGGGCCCCACTATGCGCGACGCTTCCGCGAAAGGAGGCGCTCGCGGCCAGACGCCAGACTGGTTCGAGTGCGCGATGACTGAGCAGTGCCCGTGCTGTTCGCAGACGTCTGCGTTTTGACGCAATGCCAACTGTCGCCTGAAAGCGGCCTGCGCGCGTCCCTCTTGCGCGTCCGATGCGCCCCGCCAGCCGCCGGTCAGCTTTGGCTCAGTCGCGGCGACGCACCCGCGAACGCACCGCCCGCCCCCGCCTGCTCCGCGCCCCCGTGGAACCGGAGGAGGAGGAGGAGGAGGAGGAGGAGGAGGAGGAGGAGGAGGAGGAGGACGCGGCCGCGGGCGCCCCATCCGCGGCGGAAGGCCAGAGGAGGGGAGAAGCGCCTCCGCCCCCGCCGCCGAAGGCTGGGCGACAGCAGGCAGGCAGGGAGCAGCGCGCGGACAGCAGCGAGGCCCCAGGCGCGCTCGCGGACTCGGACTGGGACCAAACGCAGCGCAACAGCATCGGCGCCATCATCAGGTCGGCTCTCGTCTGCAGCCAGGCGATGAGAGACCCGTGGGGCGCCGCGATCGACGCGCGGTTCGCGGACGCGGCCGCGCTCGAAGCAACGGCGGCGGCTGACGCGGGCAAGGGCTACAGCGAGACGTTCGCCGCAGCTGGGCGCGGCCGCCGACGCGGCCCTCCTCGCTTGTTTATAGATTCGCTGGGTTCGCGCAAGAGCGGCCCGCAGACATTCCGCGCGCATGAGAACTGGTGCCAGAAGTTCTTGAGCACGGCGAACGTCGAGGAGATATGGGTAGTGGTTCGGTTTTTTCTCGGATCACCAAGTGCTACGATACGGGCTAGAAGAAGAGACGCCTCGCTCTCATGGATCGGCCCCAGTGCGCGGACGAGTCGGGCGAGCCCTCGATTCCTTCCAGCATGTCTTTACGCGCAGTGTTTCATCGTGCTCTAACAGAGGTCGGGGCCAAGCGCGCGGTCGGGGCCGCTCCTCCAGGGGCCATGGAAGAAATGCTTCAGCACGTCCTTCCTGAGTGACGGTCTGTGGCATTACTTATTGCACGCCTTGCCGTGCAGCTCACCTCCCTCACTCTTCTCTTGCGGCGGCGACCTTGAGTGCTACGTGGTTTGCGTTTTTGCTTGGTTGCGGCTGCCCTTCTCCACGGAGCGGCGAAAGCCGCTTCTGGGACCCTGACGGTGTCGGAGTTGTTGGGCTCTGGGGGCGGCCGCAGTCCTGGTTGGTGACTGACTGCCGCGCTACCTTTTTGCATGCTATGGAGTCGCTTTGTGCTACGCCTACACTTAGAGTGCATTATAGTACTCATGGAGCTGTGCGAGAACCATGTGCGTCTCTGAGAGCATCCCAGATGTTTCTTGAATGGTGGTTTCGTTTAAGCAAGTGCGTCAAAGAGCATCCACTGTTGTATTCCAGCACTGGTAGGACTCTAATCTGACTCGCACGCGCGAGCCCTTAAACGCGGCATTGCTGTGACATTTAAGGGCTGGGGGCTCGCACATGACATGGTGTTGCGTGGAGCTGCGCCTACCGTCGAGTGAATTCACTACTTCTGGTGCTGTGCGATGCTGTACGGGAAAGTTTCTGAGATAATATGTCGCGCATGGCTCCGATTGCGTGTGAATCAGGTTCGTTGTCGAAACCTTCGGCCTTGACGACGATGATTTCGAGGCTTGCGGTTGTCTGTGTTGTTGCCGCCGGTTTCTCCCCCTCGTCCTCCTCCCCCCTCTTCTCGTGTGCAGTGTGCAGTCTCGAGCTCGTCACTGTATGGTGAAACTCGGTCACGCGTGAGTCGCTTCCCACACGTCGGCGCGGCTGCCCCCAGAGTTCGCAGTGAATTCGTTGGGGCTCGCCTGGGCCCTTCGCTCCGTATCTTGGATTTCGGCCCGGCTTCGGCTGGCAGCAGTGTTGATTGTTTCGGAATGCTTGCGCGTTGCACTTCGTATTATCGCACGCTCGGTGCGGCACGTTCTGCATGCATGGCGCCCTCGCTGGCCACCTGTCGCGCGCTCGCGTGGCATTCGTCGCACACTGCGCGCCTCCACGCCGCGTATTATGATTACTCCCTCTCTCCCTCCCTCCCCTCCCTCCGCCTCCTTCCCTCCTCCATCCCTCCCTCCTCCCTCGCACCCATCCAAGTCCTCAGGTAACCGAAGTGAGAACCCCTAAGCCTCCCGTGTCCTTCCTGCCTCCGCCTCCGCGGCTGCTCCCCAGCCGCTTCCACGTCGTGCGCAGTGCAGCTTGCCACGGCGCAGCGTGCAGCCTGCCGCTGTTTCGACCATGGCGGGCTCTCTTGTTGCTGCGGAGCGGACAAGACTGAGCCCAAGTTGTGTGTGTTGTGTGTTGTGTGGGTTGTGCGTGTTGTGTGTTGTGTATTGTGTGTATTGTGTGTTGTGGGTGTGTGTTGTGTGTGTGTTGTGTGTTGTGTGGTGGGTGTGTTGTGTGTGTGCGTTGTGTGTGTGTTGCGTTGTGTGTTGTGTGTGTTGCGTTGTGTGTTGTGTGTGTGTTGTGTGTGTTGTGTGTTGTGTGTTGTGTGTATTGTGTGTATTGTGTGTACTGTGTGTGTTGTGTGTTGTGTGTGTGCGTTGTGTGTGTTGTGTGTGTTGTGTGTGTTGTGTGTTGTGTGTGTTGTGTGTTGTGTGTGTTGTGTGTGTTGCCCTCTTGCCGTCCTTCATCTCTCTTTCACACTGGCCACGCACGCTCGGGTGGCCTTCGGCGCGGGGTCTCCCGCTTCTGAGGGTCCTGCGCGCACGGGGCCTGCGTTCAGTGGTACTCGATGTTCTACGCTCCGTCGCTGCGCGCGAGGCCGCGACCGCTCAAAGGCGCTTGTGTGTGTGTGTGTGTGTGTCTGGCGCCTGGGCGCCTGGACTGTGGCGACCTTAGGCGCCATCACTGCGCACCCTCCCGCGCACCCACTGCATCTGGGGAGCGGAGAAAGAGCTCCAGGCCTCAGGGGAGGAGGAGGAGGGGGAGGAGGAGGAAGAGGAGCAGGAGAAAGAGTCGCAAGAGGAGGAATCGCAAGAGAAGGAGTTGCGAGAGGAGAAGGGCATCCCCGCTGCCCATGCCCCGGGCAAGCGCACGGCATGGTCGATCCTATGGGATCCCTGCCCTTCTCCTGGGTGGCCAGCCGCGCGCGCTCTTTCCGCTCGGCCGCGCGCGAGTCCGCGACCCACAAAAAGTGAGTTATTTTGTTTGTGTGTATTTGTTATTGTGTGTGTTTGTTTGTGTGTGCTTGTGTGTGTGTCTTTGTGTGTGTCTTTGTGTTTGTATGTTATCGTGTGTGTTTGAAAATGTGTGTGTGTCTTATGTGTGGTGTGTTTGTTTTTGTGTGTATGTTTGTGTGTATTTGTGTTTGTGTGTTCGTGTGTGTTTGTGTGTGTGTGCGTGTGTGTTCATGGTCCTCTACCTCGGGCGGCCGCCGTTGCCGCTTCTTTCGGCGCCTCGCCCGTCGGTCGGTACCCGTCGCACCGCTTCGTTCTCACCTTTCTTCTCCCTCTGGCCTTTCCCCTCTTTTCCTCTCAGGGCGAGGATGTCGAGTGTCCTCGGCTTCTTTCTTCCCACAGTCTGTCTCTGCTCTTCCCCACGCACAGCCCCCTCCACGCGGGCGGCTTCGGCCTGCGTGGTGTCTTCAGCGCGGTGTACACCCCCGGCAGCGATGCCCCCTTGGGTCTTTTCGCGGCTCTCCGAGCTCCGAGTTCCCCTCACGGCTGCCCCTCCTCATTCCCTCTTCCTCCTCCTCCTCCTCCTCCTCCTCCTCCTCCCTCCTCCTCCTCCTCCTCCTCCTCCTCCCTCCTCCTCCTCCTCTCCCTCCTCCTCCTCCTCCTCCTCCTCCTCCTCCTCCTCCTCCTCCTCCTCCACCTCCTCCTCCTCCTGCCGAACCTTACGGCCCCCTGGGTCATGTGGGTGGATCCCCTGTGGGTGGATCCAGCGCCTCCTCGCTGCGTGCGCCGGGCAGGTGCGCGCGCTTCTTCGCCCCCTTTGCTACGCAGGGAGGCCGCGCGCGTGGCCGCGACGCCACGAAGTGTGTGTGTGTGTGTGTGTGTGTGTGTGTGTTTGTCTTCGTGCTCGCCTGCTTCAGCTCAACCCACATCGCGACGCAGCCTGTGTCGGCCCGCATTGCACCGCCTGGACGAGGGGGACCGAGGAGGGCACGGAGTGCTGGGTAGGTGCACTCTCTCTGCTCCTCCGAGGTGGACATCCCCATCCGGGCGAACGGCAAGTGCCCCGACGCGAAGCATCCCGACCGCTTCGAGATGCAGCAGTGCAACACCCAGGACTGCGTCGGCGACGAGATCTGCATCGCCAGGCAGGACCTCGTGATCGCGCTGGACGGCAGTGGCTCTCTGAAGCAGGAGGGCTTCGACTACGTCAAGAAGTTCGCGCTGAACCTCACCAGCAAGTACCAAAGCGTGTACTACGGCCACGAAGACATGCGCATCGGTCTGGTGCTGTTCGGGAACGGCGAGTACTTCGACAACGGGACGGTCGCGGCTGCCCTCGAGGTCGTCCCGATCACCACCGACTTGGAGTCCGTCGAGACAGCGATTCAAGGGTTGCAGTGGCAGCGCGGGTTCACTAACATGATGCAAGCGCTCCAAGCCGCCGACAATATGTTCGCGGAAGGCCGCGATGACGCACAGAGCGCGGTCATGGTGATCTCGGACGGTAAGTGGACAAATGCGTATCGCACAACAATGAAGGCAACAGCGATGAAGGACAAGGGGATACAGATCTTCATGGCCCCCATTGCAGAGCACATGAATGCCAATTTGCAGATACTCAGGGGTTGGGCGAGCGAGCCGTGGGAGACGAACTTCGAGCTCATTCCGGGCTTGACGTCCCTCGTAAACAACGAGCCAGAGTTCGCGCAGAAGTTGCTCGTCAAGTTCTGCCCCCGGGCGTTCTCGCCATCGCTCAAGCAGGAGGAGGAGACGCAGACGGGCTACCTAAAGATCCACGAGGAAGGCTACCCAGCGGACAGTTGTGCCACTTGGACGGACCTTGGCACACAGAGCAGCGCTGACGCGTGCATGGAGGCAGTGAAGGAGAAGAACGGTTTGGCCTTCGCCTATTTGGAAGGTGGCCGCAACAGCGGTACCTGTTACGAAGAGGGTATTGATGTCACTTCGGAGATCTGGGCTGATGCGATGAACGACCGTGTAAACATGAGTTGCCCAGGTACTGATGGGGGTTGGGTGTACAATGCGTTCGCGTCCACCTACATCATGAATCCGACCATGTTCGGCAGCCTCTTCGAGGATGAGTGATGACGGGGACTCCGAGAAGTTTTGCCCCAGACAGTCCTAGTGCAGGTGATGGTCTGAGCTTACCGCGTTTTTCGTTGAGTTGAGAGAACCAGCCAAACTCTTCTGGTTACGTCGACTCGTCGTCCTCTGCCTCAGCCTCCTCCCTCCCCTCCCCTCTCTCCTTCTCCTTCTCCTCCTCCATTCCACCTCCTCGTGCGAGCCCCGACCACCCGCCGCGGGTGTTGCTGCGAAGAAGGGGGACAACACAATTGGGCTTCGGTCGATCCCCACCAGGGAGATGCTGCGAATGGCTTCGACGTCTGTCTACATATTCCAGACCCTCTTGCGATGGGTTCTCATATTGATAGAGAACTGTTGCTTCCTTCATTCTGCTCCCGTCTCCCTCCGCTTATATCCTCTCTCCTCCTGCCTTCTGCTCCTCCTAGCCTGCTCCGACCTCGCCATCCTTCAGGGGCTGCGAACTGTGAAGTTGCCGCCACTTTCGAGGCTACTGGCGGGCCCAACGCAGTGCGGGTCTTCGGGAATACAGATTAGACCTCGCCGTCCTTGGGGAGGCTGCGATCTGCGAAACTGTCGCCACTTTGGACGCCTGCTGAGGAGGGGCCCAGCGCAGTGCGGGGGCTACAAGGATTCAGATCGCACATCGCCATCCCCGGGGGGGTGGGGGGCGCGAACGGCGACACTATCGCCACGTTCGACGGTTGCCGAGGGGCCCCGCGCAGTGCGGGCCTACGGGAACTCAGATTAGACCTCGCCATCCCTGGGGGGGGGCTGGAAATTGGGAAATTGTCGCCACTTTCGAGGGCTGCTTGGGGGGCCAGCGCAGTGAGGGCCTGCAGGGACCCAAAGACCTCGCCATCCTTGGGGGGGCTACGAATTGTGAACTTGTCGCAACCTTGGACAGCTGCTGGGGGCCCAGCGCAGTGCGGGGCTGCGGGGGGCTACGGGGTCCCAGATTAACCCTCGCCATCACTGGGAAGGGGGGGGGCTCATCTGCGAAACCGTTCCAACGTTCGACGGCTGCCTAAGACAGGGACTCATATTAGACCCCGCCATCCCTGTTGGGCTGCGAACTGCGAAGACGTCGCCACTTCGAGGGCTGCTGGGGGTCCAGCACAGTTCGGGGATACAGTGACTCATCTTAGACCTCGCCATCCTTCGGGGGCTGCGATCTGCGAAACTGTCTCCACTTTCGAGGGCTGCTGGGGGGTTCAGTACACTGCGGAACTACGGTGGCTCAGATTCGACCTCGCCATCCTTGGGGGGGCTTCGAACTGCGAAACTGGCGCCATGTTCGAGGGCGGCTGGGGGGGCCAACGCAGTAACGTTTACGGGGATTCATATTCGACCTCGCCATCCGTGAGGGGCTGCGATCTGTGAAACTGTCGCCACGTTCGATGATTGCTGGGAAGGCCCCGGCATTGACGCCCTACCCAGACTCATGTTGATTCTCGCCAATGCGATCTTCGACGTTGTCACCACTTTCTGGGGCTGCTGGGGGGCCCAGCGCAGTGACACCATACCCAGACTCAGATGACAGTCAGACCGAGGTATAAGACCGAGGTCCGTTCGGGGAGGGTATCCTAGTGTTCTTCGTGTTTGTTTGATGTTTTCGTGCATCCTGGGGGAGGGTACCCTCGAGCGATCGTATGGTTCGGGATGTTTTGGCCAGCGGAGAGTCTCATGTTATTGAAGGATGTTATTATGTCCCAGGTCCGACCGTAGACCTCGTCCTCCCTGGGGGGATTGCAGTCTGCCACGCTGTCGACACTTTCGAGGCTACTGGCTGCCCCGGCGCAGCGACGCCCTACCCAGATTCAGAGTGGACCTCGCCATCTTTGCGGGGGGGTGCGAGCTGCGAGACATGTTGGGCTGCAGGCCCTGTGTATCGCCATCCCAGGGGGGGGCCACGAACGGCGAAACTATCGCCACGTTCGACGTTTGCCGAGGGGCCCAGCGCAGTGCGGGACTACGGGAACTCAAATTAGACCTCGCCATCCTTGGGGGTGGGCTGCAAGTTGCGACGGCTGCTGTGGAGAGGGGGGGGTGGCCGGCGCAGCGACGCCACACCCAGATTCCGATTGCACCGCTGGCAGGATGCAGGTACGGTACCCCTCCATGGGGCCCCCTCCCGACGATGACGGCGACGGCGACGACGGCGGCGGCGGCGCCTGGAACGCATCTTGATCTTTAGTATTGACATCACCTTCTCCCGATGCCGATCTGAAGGAATCGCCCAGTTTCTGAGGGCACACCCCTGAGGTTGTCATCGCCATAGGGTTGTCAATCCTGGCGAGAGGGACCCAGACGTCGGATGTTTTGTGTTCTCAGTGCGGTGTCCCTGGAAGCCTCGACCCCTTTCCCAAGGCGGGTTTGTCATCCCGGACTGTAAGTCGACGGTGCCAGAGCCGGGTGAGGGCCACAAGAGGCCGAACATGGCCCGAAGATTTTGCGTCACTTTGTTTCACGACGCCAGCATGTCTGAGGATGAGATCGCGGCTCGTCGGTGGCGGCGGCGGCGGCGACGACGACGACGACCATCTTGCGACCTTCATTTGTTTCCACCTCTCCCTTGTACCTGCCGCCTGCTACTGGGTTGACTGTGTAGACCACGAGCAATTATGGGAAGCTTTGCGACAGCAGCACATACCTCCTGCATACATAAACTTCTTCAAACAGTTGTACTGCACCCGAACGGCAACAGTCAGGACAGACACCAAGCAGGGCTTTCAGTATCGAGCGTGGCGTGAAACAGGGAGATCCACTGAGCTCTTTCTTGTTCAATGCTGTCCTCGAGCAGGTGTTCAGACAAGTGAAACCTGAGTGGCAGCGCAAGAACTTCGGAATCCAACTAGGCTTCGCACCACCAGTACGGATCACAAATCTACGTTTCGCCGACTGTCTTGCTCTACGCCCCCAACTTACGACAAATTTCCTGTTTGCTCCGAGATGTGCAATCCCAAGCCAAGACATGCGGTTTGGCACTGCACCTGGACAAGACCAAGATCCTGACGAACGTCAGCCGGAGAGAGGGGAGAACAATTTCTCATGCCGACATCAACGGCGAACGCATCGAAATATTGCGTTCCGTCCAGAGCACGAAGTATTTAGGAAGGAAGCTGAGACAGAGCTACGCAATAGGATTGCCGCAGGATGAGGTCGCTTCAACCAATCAAGAAACGAGCTGACACACAAGCGTTTCCCACTCCACAGTCGACTGAGGCTGTTCAACGGATGAATCACAGCATCAGTGATGTACGGGCGCTCCTGTTGGACCCTCACCAGCGACATGCTTCTCACTTTACGGCGTGCACACCGGAGGATGCTCAGGCTTGTCATCGGGATGCCAAGGCGTCGTAATGTACAAAACCACATTCGCGACACTGACACCAACGAAGCGACCAGCGCCGACGCAGCAGACTCCCCCATCCACCACGACAGAGCCGACGACAGAGAAGAAGACGACGGTTTGGAACCATGAAAAGAATTCGTACGAAGATCGACGCACGCAGCCCTAGAGCATGTTCGGCGCGCAGGCGTAGAGGACTGGCCTACGGTAAACTTCGCACGGAAGTGGCGGTGGACATCGCGCGTCGCAGCCCACGACTACGACAGATGGGCGCGGCTTTCACTACAATGGACTCCGAACACCCACGACCCACGCCAAACCCTACGACGCCACGGAGGACAACGGAAAAGACGGGATGCCAAAATCACACACTTCGTACGCACAATCACTACACACGAGGGAGACGACGACCACAAAAGGTGGATACACATTGCGACGGACGAGAAAGCATGGTCGGCGTTGGAGCCGAAATGTTTGGCTTATGTCAACTGTGGGGACAGTGTGCGAAACTCCCACTTCACGGTCTGAGTCCTTCCTCCTCCCTCCTTCCCCCTCGAGTGAGGTTATTTCTCGGCGCTCCGGCGCCACCGCCGGGCTGTCGTAGGGCCGTCCCCGCCAGGACGACTGACCGGCGCCTCGCTTCGCCTGCCGCCTGCTACGTCTATGAGCCAGCCCCCTTTCGGGGGGCTTCTTTTCGTACTAGCTCCTGGAAGAAGCATTCAGCAGCGCATTCTGTATGCGCATTGCGCCGCCATGTCCGTAATGTGAGCTAACGCACCCGCGGGCAACTCACCAACTTGATTCAGTTGCGGGGATGTGTCGGTCGAACCGTTCTTATGCTTCAGGGGTTGTCTAGCCAAGGCGTCTCCGAGGAAGATGTGAGGAAGTATCGAGCGGGAACCGTTGTCGTCGCAGGTTGGGCGTTACGAACTTGATGGGATTGCAAAAAAGTGTCGGGCGAGAGCGCCGTTCCTGAGTTTGGGGGGCCTCTCTGGCCAGAGCGTCTCCTAGTTCCCTACAAAGCAGTGCTTGCAGTTAGGTGCTCTTTACTGTTGCAAAAACTTGATTCGTCTGCTGCTCTGGCGGCCATGCGGCCGCCGTCGCCGCCCCGTCGCCGCCCCATCGCCGTCCGTCGTCTGGGCCTGTTTGCCGCTCTGGCGGCTGTGTGGCCGTCGTCGTCGCCCCGTCGCCGCCTCGTCGCCGCAACATAGGTTGTTCTACATGAGTGCACAGCAAATGTTGCACCACATAGACGGCACAAAGTAGATTGCATCACATCGATTGCACAAAATAGGTTGTACAGCGTAGATTGCACCATACACGCACGCACATTGCACCACATAGATGGCACAACATTTATTGCACCACATTGATCCCCGGCTCCAAAGAGGAATTCAGATCTACCACCCCCGAAGCCGGGATTATCGAGCCCCCGTCGGGGATGGGCAATTGTCATATGGTTCTGCCCCATCGTTCGTTCCAAATATGAATTTGTACCATCTCAGCCAAACCGGGTTCGACCACCGCTCACCACCATACTTTGGAAAAAAAGATTGCGCGAGCACACTAGTTGATCACAAGTCGTCAATGTTCAAAACTCCTTGTAGCAAAAACTAGACGAAGTGCGCACGCGCGTGTCGTCGCGCGCGCGTGCCGAAATCTTTCAGAAACTTAAGGTTCCGAGAGGATTTCAAAATCGAGTGTCACGGGAGCATATTGTTTACGCTTCGCGAATCCCCACCAGCCTATCCTAAAGCAGCCAGTCTAGGCAAGAGTACCGTCTATCTTGGGGTTTGGTTCGAAGGCCTTGTGATCCTCTTGGGGCTCTTGTGTCGGGTCTTGCGTCGGGAAGCTCTCTTGGGAATTTTCTGGTGCTAGAGCTGCTCGTGTTGCTGGTGCTGGTGCTGTTGGTGCTGGCGGTGCTGGTGGTGCTGCTGCTGTTGGTGTTGCTGTTTGTGTGCTGTTGCTAGTGCTGACG